AGGATTCCGTGTAGTTACCCAGAACAGTTACTCAAGTTTTGGTTTTCTTTTACATAGCTGTATTCAGAGATACTCTATGTGAGGTATGTTTAGAAAAAGAGAAACACACCTGGAATTTATATTCTTCCAAGTAATCTTTTGGTAATGGCAATCCCCAGGTGGTACTGGTACATTTGTTAATGGTGACTCTGTGGAGATGCTGTAGACAGAGTGCTGACATGTAGAGTGGTTTGGTCAGGTAAAGGGAATAGTGCTGTGGAGGTGGAGGGAGGCATCTGGGCCTATCCACTTATCCTTGCACATTTGAACATAGTAGTTGATCAGATCACCCACACTGTCAAATTGTTTAAGCTTGGACTTGACCCATATGATAGAGTCTATTCTGAATTTCCCTTCTTGGTATTCAATTCACAGATTAGTTGATCCAGCTGTTGTTTGAACAAATATTGTTAGTAGGTAGTATGAGTGTAAGCTATCTCTAAGCAAGAAAGTTCCTTCTGGTGTCTCTTTTAATTTCTCTTTGGTTTCTTTAACAGTCATACTTCTGCAGTACTATCCTGCCGACACCACTCCAACCCCACCCCCTACACCCCCCACCCCCAGCCCTCTCATCCCCATCCTCCACTGGTTCCACGTCCTTTCTGTGCCATTCCTGGAAGGCTGCAGGCACTGCAGAGTCATGGAATAAGTGTCGTTGCAGCAAAGACAGGTGGCTGCCTGAGTTAGGGGCAGAGAGGGGCTCACGTCCTTCCTGGAAGTGAATGAGAACCCTCAAAGGAGTTCCCTACTAGGTGCCAGAAATGCTGGCAGAGATGGAGGGAATAGGGAACTGCCTATTCTTTCTCCTCAAGTTCTGGCAAACTGATGGCAAAGTACCTTGCAGACATGGTCACCCTTAGATCACCTAAGCCTCTTCCTCTGCACCCAGCAGCCTCCCTAGCAAACATGGGGTGGCACATTAGGAGGGCCCCAGGAGAGGAAGGGTATCTGCCTCAGTTTCCTCTGTTGACGTTTAATTTGGGAACAAGATGCCAGGGGATGTGACTGCCTCTGTGTTGATGAGCAGCCAGAGTTCTCTGGGCAAAGGACAGACGAAAGCCCCAGGGATCATTGCCTCAACACCCCCTGCCCAGGCTCCGGCATCCCTCTGGACTCTGTCATTCCCCATACCCAGGCAGCTGCTGGGTTTTACTCTGGTAGCACACCTGAAGACTTCTGAAGGCTGGGAAATTTAAGAACATAGAGCTGGTGTCTGGTGAAGGAGGGCCTTTTTGTTGTGTTATAAGATGGGGGAAGAGTAGAAAGTAGAAGTATTCATGCAACAGAGGAAAAGGGGACTGAATTTCCACAAAGACTAACTCACTCCTGCATTAATGGCATTAATCATTTCATGAAGGCAGAGCCTTAATGACCCAATCACATCCCAGAGACCTCACCTCTTAACACTGCTGCAGTGAAAACTGTGTTTCCAACACATCAGCTTTTGAGAAACATATTCAATCCATAGCGATCATATATTGTATGATTCCGTTTATATGAATGTTCACAATAGGCAAATCAATAGAGACAGAAAGTAGATTACTGGTTACATAAGGCTGACTGTTTGGAAAGGATGTGGGGAGTGATTGCTAATGGATACTACTGGCAGGATTTCTTTTTTGAGTGGTGAAAATGTCATAAAAGTGATTGTAGTGATGCTTGTACAACTGTACAAATATTGTTGGGTTGGTGTTTTCTCGTAGGGAGAGAAGGATGGCTTGGCCGCAGGTGCAAGCTTGCTCCTAAAATTGTATGAAAGCAAGAAAGGACTACTACTCTGGGTGGCAGTAGTAGTAAAATGTCTTTATTACCGACATCTTTTATAATAAACTAATCCTATACATCACATTGATCAATAATCCTAACATCCTCTATTCTTATCTTAAACTATAGAAAAGAAAGAAAATCCGGGAAAATAAGATAACCATTTTAAGACTAGCCTCAGGCTATTCCTCTCTAAAGACCTAAAACAACCCTACATTATTTGACTTCCATTGTCAAAGTTAAAGGTCAGGATAAACGGGAGTAAAACTTTTTTTCTTTCATGTGCTCAGTTAAATTTCGGAGAAACAGGCTTAAAGACTGTTTTCTCGTGGTTTGGAGGCCCCTCACCCAATGATGGAGCATTCTTTTACTTTCACAATTATAATGGACTTTTTCATTTCACGCACATCAACTTTTGAGTCATGTCCCCTGCACAGATGGGCTATTTCAACCCTTATCTGGCAGGCTGACTTGACTGCACAGTTAGGGTTCCATGTCCTACATCTTGCCTGCAGGCCCCTGCCATGCTTTCCCAGGTCACTTAGGCCTCGACAAAAACACACAATACTCATGAATCTTTTTGCTCAGTTTCTGGAATTAAAAAAGCACATTTCATTTAATTAGTTTTATGTGGGAATTCATCCCACAAAATATACTAAAAACCATTGATTTATACATTTGGGGTGGATTCCTGGCCTCAAATGATCCTCCCTTCTAGACTCCCAAAGTGCTAAGATTATAGGCCCATGGCCTAATTGTATATTTTTTAAAAAAACCTATTTTTCTATCCTTTTTAGTTTTTAGGGTTTATAATATATAGCTTTAACTTGATACATAATAACTTAACACTGATTCACATTTAGATAAAGCTAATGGAAACTTGAGTTCAGAAGAGTGAACACTAGTTGATCCGATGTAGAAACAAAAGGATGTTAGATAAAGGCCAGAGTTGATTATAATCTTCTTTAGTAATCTTTGTTCCTCAAATGCCTTAAGCACACTTCTGCCTTTTGGTCTTTTTCCTAACCATTCCTTCTTCCTAGAACAGGGGTCCTCAGACTTTTCAAACAGGAGGCCAGTTCACTGTCTCTCAGAGCGTTGGAGGAGGGCTGGACTGTGGGCCTTGGGACAACTTGGCTGCTAAGCAGGACAGGCTATGGCAAAAACACCCGTCGGGCCAGATAAATGTCCTAGGCAGGCTTCATGTGGCCTGCGGGCTGTAGTTTGAGGATGCCTGTCCTAGAACATTCTTTTGTTAGATACTCCATAATAATGTGGTTTTAGCTTTGAATTCTTTCTTTGCAATTCAAATGTTACCTTCTCAGAGGAGTTTTTCCAGGTCATGGGGCTTAAAATAACCATTTCTTGCTCTGGATACCTTTACTTTTATTCTGATTTATTTTTTCTTCATAGCACTATAGTTGTATATTGTTTGTCTGGATTCTCCTTTTTTTTTTTTTTTTTGAGACTGAGTCTCATTCTGTCTCCCTTGGTAGGGGTGCTATGGTGTCTTATCTCACAACAACCTCAAACTCTTGGGCTCAAGAGTTCCTTTTGCCTCAGCCTCCTGAGTAGCTGGAACTGTAGGCGCCAACCACAACTCCTGGCAGTATTCCCCTCTTTGTTGTGTTCACCTTTACATCTCTGCCTCCTTCAAAAATACCTGGTAGTTAATAACTGATGAATAAATACTGATTGAATAATTGAGTAAATATTGAATTATTGATATTCATTTGAATCTCTTTTGTATAGTTTGCTTAGAAAAAAAATCTAATCTACCTGATTACCAAAAACACACTATTAACTTACCTTTCAGTATGAAATTAAAATGTATTTCTTTTTGGGGGGTGTGGGGACAGTCTCACTTCGTTGCCCTTGGTAGAGTGCTGTAGCGTCACAGCTCACAGCAACCTCCAACTCTTGGCTTTAGGTGATTCTCTTGCCTCAGCCTCCTGAGTAGCTGGGACTACAGGCTCCCACAATGCCCAGCTATTTTTTGTTGCATTTTGGCTGGGGCCCAGTTTGAACCTACCACCCTCGGTTTATGGGACCGGTGCCCTACTCACTGAGCCACAGGCACTGCCTTTAAAATGTATTTCTTATACTTCTGTATTTAACCATAGAATATTAGCAAAATCTTAGCACCTACTTTATGTTTACCTTTTAAAACACTTTCTGGTAGGCTTTTTATTCATGTATGAACAGAAATATCCTAGACTAATTGTTAGGGTGTAAACTAGTTGACAGGGGTTTTGAGAAAAATTTCCAAAGATTAAGATAGAAGAAAAAAGGTTATTTTATTTTTCCAGGTAAAAAAGGGCTAACGCAGAAGTCAAAGGGGTAGAAAGAATTGGTGCAGAGAGAGAACAAGGTGTTCAGGCTTAGGGGTTGTAAAGAGGATAAAGAAAATTTATGGCTATAGCCAAATTAACTGGGTGCTGTGAATGCTGCATCTAGTCCTTCTCTTTTAGAAGCAGGCTGGTAACAGAAGTGGCAGACAGGTTTATCACTGACAAGTGATTCTGCCTTAGAGACTTTTTTTTTTTTTGAGCAGGAATGAAGACCTGTCGCTTGCAACCCTCACTACCCCCAATTCTCTGTTCAGAAACTCTCCAAAGTTTCAAAAAGCAAATTCTAAATGGCGGTTATTAGTCAATAGGTCTAAAAACTTTAATTTCCTGTTTAGCCCTTTTCAGATGTTGTGAAAACAGAGCCCCTGTAGGGTGCCTGAGGGAGAGGGAGAAAGAAAGGGTGTATGAGGCTGTGTGTACAGTGACTCATGCCTTTGTAGCCCTCTGGGAGGCCAAGGCAGGAGGATTGCTTGAGGTCAATAGGTCTTGACCAGCCTGAAATCAGGCCGAGTGTGGTGGTTCATGCCAAAGGAAGGTCAAGGCAGGGGGATTTGTGACCAACCTGAGGAAAGTGAGACCCAGTTCTATGAAGAATAGAAAAATTAGCTTGATGTGGTAGCAGGCTCTTTTAGTACCACCTACTGAGCAGACACGCAGGAGAATTGCTTGAGGCTAGGAATTAGAGGTTGCTGTGAGCTACTGTGAGGCTCTGCTTAAAAAGGAAGGAAGATTGGTTGTATAATTGATTTTAGCCCTGCACTAATATGTAAATTTCACTATCATTTGGAAATAAAGCTATTTATAGTATTAAAGTCTAAGCTATTAATTTGAATTATTTTATTCTAGTTCCAAAAATTGAGACATGATCTTGAAATGGTCCTATCTACTATTCAGTTAAAGAATGAAAAGTTAAAGGAGGACTTGGAAAGGTATATTTATGTTATAATTACTATTAATAATTGATATATATTGAATTGGTACTTAAAGTTTTCATTGGATATTGTTTGTTTTGTTTTGTATTTCCATGTTTAAAGGGAGCAACAGTGGTTGGATGAACAACAACAGATAATGGAATCTCTTAATGTACTACACAGTGAATTGAAAAATGAGGTTGTGCCATTTTCTGAGTCAAGGTATTCATTTTGTTTTCTAGGTTTTTCAAATAGGAGAAAATATTTTTTTCTTTTTTTTTTTTTTTT